TGAAGTATTGACAGGGGATGAAAACTCAGGGGTCAGGCAAGTGACAATTGAACAGGTGAGAGAGGAGCAGATCATAGCTGGTGGCCCTGGCTGAAGGGACAGCTGCTGTAATCTTGGCTCTGATTCTTATCATGTAGGACAAGCCCTCAGTGTGGCCTTGCTTTCTGATTGTTTTCTCAAAGGAAGTCAGAAGTCTAGGTTTTTGTGTGAAATTAGATTTTTAAAAAATGTTGGGACCTAATGCAATATTAAAAAAAAAAAAAAGTCAAGCTGTCAGGATAGTGTACAACAGTTTGGGGGCTGAGGCAAGGGGATAGCAAGTTGGAGCCTGGTCTGGGCAACTTAGGAAGACCCTGTCTCAAAATTTTAAAAAATTGGGCGTGTTGGTGCATGCCTGTAATCCCAGCACTCGGGAGGCTGAGGCAAGAGGATCACCATGAGTTCAAGGCCAACCTGGGCTACATAGTGAGTCCAGGCCAGCCTGAACTATACAATGAGAACCAGTCTCAAAAAAAAAAAAAAAAAAATGCTGGGGATGTGACTCCATGGGAAAACCCTGGGTTCAATGCCCAGGACTAACAAAGGTTAGGGGGACAGGCTCACTGGCACACATCTGTAGTCTCAGCCATTTGGACGAGATCAGGCACGTTCAGGGTGGTATGGCCGTAGACAGTCTTAGCCATTTGGGAGGCTATAGAGGATCATTGAGCCCAGGAGTTTGAGAGCATTCTGGGCAGCACGGTGTGACTTCATCTCAAGAACAAAAACAAAAATAAAAGAACACCCTGTAAAAGAAAGCCTGCCTGCAGGCCAGATGTTACCACAGCAGGCTGGTGGCTGCTGATGGCAGTGATGTCCAGGACGTGAAGGATGGGTACTGTGGCACTGTGTAAGGCTGGGTCCATTCTAACCACTTCAACATGCAGAAGAATTTAGTACAGAAGGAAGCTGTTGTCCCAGTGGGTATTCAGTAGTTCTTAACCTTATCTTGGTTATGACCCCATCTGAAAGCCTAGTGAAAACTCCCTCCGGGGAACACACAGCTGTGTACACACAGGGGGACCTGGAATTCATACCTGAAGACCTCTCCAGGCTTCAGTTGCAGACCCAGCCTTTCATTCAGAAAGCCAGCCCTTCTGAGTGACTCAGTCCCTGTGGGAACGTCTGAGGTTTTGCTGCACTCTGCAATCCTATGGTGCTCAACCTACGATTTTAAACTTGTTTCTATTTGTTGTTTTCTCAACTTTACCAAACTCAGACATTCTTCCCATTAGTTTTGAACTAGGTAATTAACATGTTGCTATTTCATAAACAGAAGTGTGTCCATGTGCAGGGGCTGCAGGGGTGGGAATGGAATGATTCTCCTCCTGATCCTGCACATGTCTCCCTAGTCTTCTCCAAGGCTATTGAGGCAAAGGGAAGATACAGAAAAGAAGGTAACAGAGAGAGGCTTTCTAACACATGCTTCCCCATGTGGGCACTCAGGGAAAGAAAGCCAGTGAGCTGCTTCATGGCTTCAGCCTGCCGCCGAGCTGGCCATGTTTGCAGAGAACAGCTGTAAATGTCGTCAGACCCGAGGACTGTGGCCTTCTCCTCAATGAGGCCATTAAGCATTGCCAGCGCAGCAGGGTGTGTTCACCCTGGTCAGAATACCGACGCCTGAGCTAGATTCTATCATTGAGAGACATTTTGCTCCTCTGAAAGTACTGCTTTCTTTAGTGTAAATAACCCCAGTACACATGAGAGCAGAAAAGATCAACCAAGTTTGGTAAAGGGTGTGTTCTCTTTTCTCTGTTAGCTTTCAGTTTTTGAATTTAGAGGAAAATGAAACTTAGCAACTATAGAGTAATTGAAGTCCACGTAGTTTTTAATTTGTTAAAGGCAGTTACAAAACAGTGAATGCCACGTCAGATTTGCATAGTGACTGATAAAGTGCACACCTTAATGTTAGTGTGCGATTTGTGTTATATGAGAGGCCCAAATTATAAATAAAGAGTAACATAAAAGATAGATAAATAGGAAATTGGGAGATGGAGCTTTCTGAAATGGGAAGGGGATCAAGAGATGGGCAGGCAGGGAAAGGAGGTGAAAAAGGAAAGAAGATGTGTTGTGTACATGTTCCACCTCCACGCAAGGAATGGAAACATGTACTGCAGACATTACGCACTGATAAAAAAGTAAATATGTGACAGTTAAAAAAGAAACACCCTGCTTTAAGCATACCTTGAAGAATGAATAATGTAATATAATAAATACCTTAGTTTTTCAATTATAAAGTGAGATGGCTACATGTTTGACTAAAAAGATGCATCTTGAAAGATACATGTACGAATTTATTAGACAAGGAACTCCTGGTCTATTCTAGTTTTTAAAAGTCTGATTTGTGAGAAACTTAAGTATCCTCTTTGCTGGTGACTGAAATCATGTATGTAGCCTCGTTCTCATTCCCAACAGTATCATTTGGTGTCCCCAGCTATTCACTGAACATTTCTGCTTGGGAGTCTTGTCATCAACTTCTTCAAAATTCAAGTTACATTTATAAGACTGACCCTGTTTACTCACAGTAACCCAGTTTCTGTCAGAAGTACAGTTTTTCTTCCCTGGTTCAAAGCCCTAGCCAGTATTTTTGATCATTCTCTCAAGTCACTAAAGCCCACACATGATATTCTTTTGTCTTTTTTTTTTTTTTTTTTTTTTTTTTTTTTTTGGAGACAGGGTCTCGCTATGCAGTTCAGGCTGGCCTTGAGCTCACTTTGTAGCCCGGGCTGGCCTCAAATTCACACAGTCCAGCCTCAGCCTCCCAACTGCTGGGATTACAGGCGTGCGCTACCACGCCTGGCTTGATTTTCTTAACATCTTCAAGATTTATCTCTTCCTTCCTTCCTTTCATTTTTTATTTATTGTTCTGTTTTTTATGGTACTGTGGATCAAACCCAGGACCACACACATGCTGCTCAAGTGCTCTACTACTGAGCTACACCTCTAACCCCTGCATTTTCATTTTGGAAAATGAAGTAATAACACCTCATTTCTAACTTGTCCATGATTATTCTCCTTACTTCAGCCTCTCCTCCTTCACAATGAGATTTTTCATTTTTAAGTGCAGCTTTGCTGTCCTCATTGCCAATCAGTCTGTCTATCTGTCTACCAAGCTGTCTACCTATCTATGCTCCCATCTCCTATCTGCCTACCTCTCACTAATTTGCCAGGTGAGACCGTGAGTCAGACCTGGATTTCAGTTGTGTCATTCAGCTGTTTTCAGTCAAAATACTGTGTCCAAGTCAAGCCCAATCTTGTGCGGGCCTCACTCCCAATCCTGCCCACAGTCTCTGTATCTTTTATTGGACACTGAATCCAGCTGTGATATGGATATATTCTAAGGACCTGGCTCAGTACCCAGCTTGTGGGAGATGCTCATTAAATAGCAGTGGCTTAGCTGGGCATGGTGGCACATACGTAATCCTAGCGCTCAGGAGCCTGAGGCAGGAGGATCACCACTAGTTCAAGGCCAGCCTAGGCTATATAATGAGGCCCTGATTGAAAAACAAAAAGGTGACATTAGCATATTTATGTGGTACCAAATTACCAAAAAGGGTACCATATGCATGTTTGAGTTAATTTAAGGGAAGGGGATATATTGAGTCATGGGGGTGGGTTGGCTTGGCACTAGAAAACAAAACTGTGCTCATTTCCTGGAATTGTTCAGTTAAAGCCCTGGAAATCAAATGTTTATGAAATACTAATGATCTACTGTTACTGTGTGTTTTGCTGGGCTGAGAAGTTGGTTATTTAAAATCATATACATGGGGGCTGGGGATTTAGCTCAGCGGCAAAAGCGCCTGCCTGGCAAGCGCAAGGTCGTGAGTTCGGTTCC